ATATATTATTTGGAAATTTCATTATATATTATAATTGTATTTCTACAATAAAACACAATAAATTTTTAATTCGTTTTTCAGTTTATTTCATTAATTTATGTGTCTATGAGAGTGGACAGAGTATTTTTATTATCCGTTTTATAATAATAAAAATATTGTTTGAATATAATCATGCTTACAATTTTGAAAATCAAAGTTAAAATAATAATAAAAAAAAGATTTACAATCAATATGATATAAAATAAATAAATAAACACCTATTTTAATGTAATTTATTTGATTAAAATGTTAATTATATTTAAGATAATCTATTTTTTTTTTAAATTGAGATATATAAATAGGTTTGCAAAACTTGATCTGTTAATTTTAAAAAGATAATGCGAATTTCCAAAAACCCTTTTAAACTTCATATTTATTTTTTATAGAGGTTCCTAGTTGTCTTGTATTATTTTTTTCTTGGAAAAGTCTAAAAAACCCCAATGGAATTTAGTGCTTGGAATGATTAAATTTGGTGATTTTTCCCGCCTTTTGCCTCGTGTCATTTTAGGTCTTTTGGGGTATCATTAAGTACCTTAGAGATTGTTTAGAATTATGGTAAAATTTATTTGTGTAAATTGTGATCCATGCTTACTGTTGATGCAATCTTTCAATGATTTGATTATGTATTGCAATTAATTCAGAGACCAATATATTTCAGGAAGACAAAACTCACACCATAAATCCTTCAGTGATGTCGAAGACAAAAACTAAAGATCAGAGACCAACAAGTTTGTGATCTGAAGCGGTGTTCAGTGATAACAAGCTCATCTACAAATGTGTGAAGTTTGCGCAAGATTCAACGAATACTAATGAGACCTTTCAATGTCATTCCATTGTTCAGCGATCAAATGAATCTTGTCAAGCAAGATTGTTTTCGTCTTGTCCTTTACACACAAATGACAAACTCATACTTTTCTAAGTATAGTACAGTACGGAGCCACTCCCTTGAGTCTAAACGTGCTTACCTACTTTATGAAAGATGACTGCTTATATATAGCCAAAAGGACTGTATATGTAGTAAATGACAAGCTTTCCTCTAACAACTTGCCACATGCGCTATAGCTTCTGAATTGTATTTAATGCAATGAGTATAAATAGCTGAGTGGTTCTCCTCTCAATTATCATCTTCCTCACTAAAAACTTACCTAAGAAAAGTTACCTCTCTCTCTACTCTATGTCTAAGAGAAAGATCCATCTTAATAAGTGAGGAGCACATTTCTTCTTACCTTATTTCTTGTAGCACATCTTTTCTTATTGTTATATGTATTTTGTGTGTATCTTAGATTGTTTAGATAGGTTCGGTATCCTATCTCTTCTGCAAATAATATGTAAAACTTGTATTGAAATTCTTTATCAATATATAATTTTTAAAAGTGAAAGTTACTGTATTTGTATTAATCTCCCCCCCTTTCTACAAACTGTTACCTATAACCTCTTGTAGATCCGGCTGGAACCAACACTTACCTGATTCAGATTCAAGTATTCGGTTTCCTTCGTTCATTTCGGTTAAAGTTTGAATTGCTTGTTTGTCATCATCGAGGTGAGTTTTTCGAACTGAAAATGCATATATTATGAAATGGTTATTATGTCGATATTATATCGGTATGGTATGGTTGGATTATGATCGTTAACTGTGATACGATTTGAATACATGTTGGAAATTAACACATTTGAATTTTATTATGAACTTTTGAGCTGAAATGCATACGTTATGAAATGATTTCATTTTATGAAAGGATGTATTATTTGGTATTGGAGATGATATAAATTGTATCAGTATCGTTATATTTAACAGTTTTTGCCAACGTATATGTAACAAAGAGGTATATGTGGTGGTGGTGTTGGAACTATTTTTGCCAACGTATGTGTAATGAAGAGGTGTATATGGTGGTGGTGTTGAGCCAGTTAGGCCAATATGTATTTGGCAGAAATGTTGAACCAATTATTAATCTTATCTGTGGTGAGATGTTATTATTTGAGAAACTTATTATTTCTTGAATAATTTGAAAGGTTCATTTGAAATGTTTTGTACAATGTACACTGACAAGGATTTCCTCACTAGACCTTATTATTTGTTGAACATTTTGTTTTCAAAATTATTTATTTCAGGATAACAGCCTTTAAAGGGTAACGAAGAAGTGTATAATGATGTTAATTAGAGTTTCATGTGTGAAGCTTGCTGAATAATGTTGTGAAGGCTGCTTTTAACATTATGGTTATGATGTAACACCTTTCTGTATGAAATTATTGATGGCAAAAAAAAATTTGGCAGCTTTAAACGGTTATTGTAGCTTTATAAGTTGGGACCCAATGTGTATATCCAACATGGTTATTTGTACAAATTCTATGTTATATGTCATATGGAAATGGAATTGCATGTTATTACAATTATTGTAAATAGTTAATATTAATGTATATTGTATAATAAAAATTAATTAATAGTTAATATTTATTAATATAACAATAATATATTTTATTTAATATTTACTAATATAGTAATAATTATTTTTATTCAATATTTATTGGTAGTTAATATTAATTATTATCAATAGTAATAAATAATAATTAATATTAATGAGGATTATAATTGGAAAAAGTCACAATAAACTCCCAAAACGCTACTCCAAATAGCGTTTCAATAAGCTAGCTCATGATCATCCAAACATGTACCCAAAAATAAGCTAGCTTATATTTGTCAAACAATGCCTTTAGTCTGTATATTGAATTGAGCAACATAATTATGCGTTCTTTCTTTATTAAAACAAGTGAATTACACGTCGGTCCCTATCTTTAAGTTCAAAGTTACAGGTTCAGATGCAAGATTTGTTGGGTCATGATATCAAGGATTGAAAATGTTCCTTGAATCTGACCGACATTTACGATATCTAGGTTTGGGTTGTAGAAGGAGGGGATCAGGGACCTCGTCATTCAAGAGCGGTAAGATGGGATGGACTGGCTTCATGCCTTCTTTGAGTTTCAAAACGACAATGTTCGAAACCAACCACAGCATCTTGTCCTCCATCTTGCCAATGCCAGGATGCGATTAATTTTGATTGTAATTGTTTTTTTGTAAAGATTTTGATTTTTTATTCTTAGAAAATTTGCTCTAAGGATCTATTTAATAAGATTCAAAAAGTCTAATAATTCAGTTGTTAAAAAACATCGAGTTAATTACTTTCTAAACTTTTTCCTCACACGTTGTACATAACGAACGTTATTTGTACCCAAAAAAAAAATGAACGAGTAAGATTTTGGAAGGTTTTTGTAGAACTTGATCAAAACACAAGATAAAATTTGAAAAAAACATGAAGTTTCAAGCTCAAAAACAATCATCCGTGGATGCTACCCAGAAAAACCTTAGATCAGTGACCACAAAAAACCAAAAATGAACAAGTTAAACAGAGACTACGCAAAGAAAAAAAATTCTATAAGGCTCAAATTTGTGAAGAAAACGAAAGCTTGAAAGTGAATAATCTATGGCTACCAAAATAAAAGCCGTAGATCAACAATAAAGAAGGGAAGAAAAATCGAAACGATAAGAAATATTAATATATGCTAAAAGATGTAGAAGACTCAGATCTGTAAACACTCGAACAAAGTGAATCACACCGTCATGGTTGCATTTCTACAGTTGCAATATGAAAAACTGATGTATAAAGAGAGAAATGATAATCATTATTAAATCAACTACTATTTTATAAGAGTAGACTTTAGTTTTGTTCTTCAATTTCAACAATGTTCCTAAATTCCAAAAACTCGGATCTGATCAACTTACGTTTATCATTTCATAAATTAAAAAAAACCAATAGTCTCTTCTTGGCAAACTTCATAGCATCAACATCCCTACCAATTTTACAAGATCACATATAACAACAATCTTGAAACTACTACAAGAAGTCAATAATTGAATTAGATGAATACATCCATGAATGGCTTATCTTCAATGAATTGCAATGGAGTGATAACTATACTCTTTACCAATTACATCATCTCACTGCCTCTTTGTCTTAATGTAGATTCATGAATCATATCCCCTTTGAAACTAACACCATAAGTCGCCTGTCGAATCCGTTCAACATGAATCAGTAAAACTGTAAAAAGATCCGAAGAAAACACTACATTTTGCAATTTCAAACGAAGAAGCTAAAAGTGCTTCATATTTCAGAGAAAAAGCCCAAGAAAACCTCCATATTTCAAAGAAGCTAAAAGAATGCTGCAGAAAAACAGATGACAACTCACAATTTCAAGGGGGCTGACTCTGTGAAGAAGGAACATGTTTACTACCATTTCCCTGCACAAAACAGAAGTAAACATCATGATGAAGGCTGATGTTTGTTTCTATATCTCAAAGTATAAGAGAAGTTACTTCATATTTACTCACTTGGGAGGATGTGATTCCTGAGTTATGGTCGTCAAATGAGGTCCTCCTACACGAGCTTCATTAGCACAAGACCGTCCACTTAGGTAAGCATCCTGAAAAACATATGGTATAGGTATATCAAGGGATTGTTTTCGATCCATATACTGAATTCAGTTTATCTTTTTTCATGTTGTTTTGATATCTGCTTCCTGTACTTCTGGATCACCAAAACAGCGGTCCACATTGTACACTTGTTGAGCGAAAAAGGAAGGGAACTTCTCACCAAAGTAGGCAGTAGAATGAAAGAGGTGGGAAGCTGCCCGCTTATAGAACGGACTAAAAGAATCACACCCTCTTTCCCACTTCTATCCGGTTTCACTGGCTCATTCTCTATTTTTCATCATCACAAGGAAGCAAATATGCATGTAAACAAAGAAGACCACTAATCTTTTGAATTCTTCACATTTTTGCCAGGTTTGGTATTGCAGAAGTTCAGGAACTTAGCCTCATGTTCTTTCATGAGATGTTGCAGCGTTTCCTTTTTCAGGAAATTTTGTGTTAAGGTACCCGTTTGCTCATTATCATTCATACAAATAAATTGAATATCTTAACTTGAGGCCGCAAGATTTTTTATATCAACTTTCCAAAGGGTATTTTTGATACCCCAGAAAAAGTTCCAACTTTTTCATAGACTTTGTCTGCGATTTTATAGGTCGGAAGGGCCAATTTGAGCGGTTTCATCAAGTCCAATGACTTATTTGTTCAAAAAAATCAATCAAAATATGAAAGTCCGTTGGGGTTTTCTGGACTTTTGCCTATTTTATTCAACTATTCTTTGAAATGGCAAAAGAAGAAGCCTACGCATAAGGTGAAAGCATGAAAGAAGAAAGTACCACTCCATGATTCAGTAACATCTCAAGCAGAACACCATTTCCATTTCCTTCTGCTTGTGTTTGATTACAGGAGAGAGGATGAAATCCCAAAGCAATATGCCTGCAGTCTCAACAGAAGCCAATTAATGACTCAAATTAGATAAGCAAACAAAGAAACAGTGTGTTTTGATTAGTACCAGTTGCTGTTGCTCAACTCAAGTTTTCTTGATAACCCCTCTAACTCACCTTTTCCTATGCCACTTGATGAATCCTGAATAAATAGAACAATAATTCCTTTAACTTATAAGAAATCATGCATAAATACTTCCAGAAATCAACTGTGTAAGAACAGCATCCTTTCTTTCTGTTGTTTTTTGCTTTTCTTTACTCCTTTTGAGAAGTGTTTTCCCATTTTCCAAGAAAAGATTATGAAAACACAAGTTCTAATATAAAAGATGAATGCAAATATTAACCCCCATTTAAAGAATGATCTAAACTTACAGAAACTAATACTACATAACAAAAGCAAATATCCCTATGATAGAAGAAAATGCAGATGAAAAGCTTCACACCTGTATTTTTCCAGTATTTAGAGCTATTATATCTAGCATTATACCACTCGAAACGTTGACCTGCTTGAAAAAGTACTCTGGCTCCTCCTCCCTCAGGGCCATGGTTGTGTACCTACAGTTTCAGGATTACCCGCTGAAGAGAGTTAGAAAGAAAAAAAATTATAATCCCATTTTGAGTTCACTATATCCAGCAATCTTGTAAAGAACTTGCAACTTTGTTTTGTACAGAAAAATTAAAAGGCTGTATGATAATAATCAAACAAGAAGAAAATGCATCAAGAGAAATCTTTAAATGTCGTCTTTCTTTTGCATTTTGCGACGAGACCGATTCATGACTATAAAATCCATGACCTTCGGGTCATAAAGGTGTAACCTATGAAAATGCAAATTGGCTAAAAAGTGTTTATACCAGGGAACCTTCGATGAATGGAAATATTGTGTTGCCTGTCAAAATAATAAAATAGAAATAAGATCGGGCCCATTAACATCAAAGAGAAAAAGAATTTTGCTTTACAGTTGATCCAAAGAGAAAAGTTCATCTTCAAAACTATGCCATATCATACAAATCTATTAGGAGTCAGCATACACATTGGCACCACCTCAAAGAGTAACATGAACCTCAATAAACACAGAAAGAAACCATATGTTTGAAACTATAATTTACAGAAATAAGAAAGTGAGATCTTACATTCTGTAAGAGTGGATCATCTTCACCAAGCTCATTGATGTTAATCACAAATCCCACCTTAAATGTATTCATCACCTTCTCTATCTTCTCACAACACAAGTTGAATTTAACAGGTTACAATTGACACCATAATCAACAAGATCAAAAAGGTCAACCAATCTTCAATGTCAAAACACCACCAATGTTTCAACAGATGACACTGAAACTGCTACTTCATTGCTAATAACTATTTTGAACAACTTCTCCCCAAATGAAATCAATGTATGCAAAGTTATCAGATGTTGAAAAGCTTTTAAACCCATAAGACATTTTGAGTAAAAGATTAAGAAGGATTAGAAATGGACTTGATTCGGAACATTGATAAACTGAAAGAGACAAAATCCACATATCCCACGAAGCAATAACCCAAAAACAAAAAAACAAAAGCTAAAAACCCGTCTCAATTTAGATCCAGTTCCTACTAGAAACTGGAAATTCGAGTTACCTACAGAACTGTAGCAACATAAATTACCTGTTTAAGAAGACGGGTTTGTTGTTTGAGAGGTCTAAATCCACCTCGAACGGTAATGAAGTAAATATCATCAGGTTGACCCTGAGCTCCATTGCGATAAGTGGGTGTTTGAAGCTGATCCATGTTGATAGCACAGTAGAGAGCAAAGCAGAGGATGAGTTGTACGCTTACGGTACAGACCCAAGATTTTTTCTCCATTTTTTCTTGAGAAAAGAAGGCAGAAGGTCAAGGTTGTTGATGTTATTCGCATCGTGATCTGATTTGTTGATAAAGGATGTAAAAACTATCGTTCGACGTAGCAGTAGAACGTGGGGATGTAAGAAAAAACATGGAAACGAGACTTGAAATTAAGGATTTTCGATGTATCAGGAAATCCAGGGATGGAGATTGAAACAAAAATTAGAAAAATGTCAAAAGGGTAACAATTCCAAAAGTTGAGGATATAATCCAAAATTTAAGGAACGAATCTAAAATTTTAAAATAACATCAAAAACATTTTTAATATTATAATAATAAAAAAATGATATATTTATTTATTTTTTATACCATTTTATTAAACCATAATAATTATATTATACAATTATTTTTTATAATCAATAAATAATTATCACTTCATTTAAAAATAGTTATTTAATGAAACATCGTT